AGCTTCTTTTTCGCGCGTAGGGGCAGATTTCAGCGCGTATCTATTGGTCTTCCCGAGTGTGGCTCAGGGTTAACTTTCTGTACCAAAGCGTTAACCCCGAGCCACACTCGGGAATACAGCGTACGTCTTACCTTGTCCGCGATCCCCGCTGTGTCCTCCGGCCGCTGCCGGCATCCGGGTTTCCCATTTCGAGCGCCCGCGTCGCAGGGGGGCGTAACCGGCGGGAAGTTTAAAAGTTAAAAATGCTTACCGTTACTGTTTTGTTCATAGTGATGCCCGGTTCTGATGGCTGCTCTATTTCCAGCTTCGAGCGTTCTACGCTACAATGAGGGACCGGTCAACCCTACAACGCCCGCTTACCTGGTTTGTAGCCCGGGCGACCCACCCACTCATGTCATCTCCTTGCTATACCGCCAATTACTTACGACAAGGTTCCAGGGCCGCCTTCAGTTCATGGCAAGATGGGAGACGGATTTAGATATCACACTTACTGAAGAGGAAATCCGAACCTTGTGCATGATCACCCATAAACTCTCAGTGGCCTGTTCGGCTCAGGAAAAAGGCTATAAAATCCTAACCCGCTGGTATAGAAGCCATACTCTCCTACATAAAATATTCCCAGATAGGTCCTCCTCCAGCTGGAGGTGTCTGAACGCAGAGGGCACCCTCCAACACATCTGGTGGAGCTGCCCGCTATTGGTTCCTTTCTGGACCCGGGTCTTCGACATCTGCAACCAGGTAATGGGAACTGACCTAACAGCATCACCTACCATAGCCCTTCTCTCTATTCTTCCTGGCTCCCTTGCTTCTGTCAGGAAGGACCTACTCTGCTTCTTTCTGGCTGCGGCACGCAATGTTGTCCCTCGCCATTGGAACACAGTGGTCACCCCGACCGTGCAGGAATGGATTGCAGAATTGTGTCTGATTATGCGCTTTGAAGAACTGACGGCCTCACTACATGAGCGTCAGGCCCAATGTGCAGTCTTATGGACCCCATGGATTTTGTATATGGGTACAGCAGCTTTCCTGGCCTTATAATGAACTAGGGTCTCTCCTGGTGGTGGTGGTGGGGACGACTGATGCACTGTCGCTAATATAACTACTCCATCTCACCGTGGCCTTACCTGAGTTGTGGTATCCAATGGAGTCTCCCCTTCCCTATTGTTTCTCCGTTAATGTTCACCCCTCTATGTCTCTTTTACCCTGGTCTTGTGTTGCGTGTATATTCTCCCCCCCTCTTATGTTGTCTGGTCCGACGGGATACAACACGGTCATATCACCTCATACTATGCCTTCTGTAGGGAATGCACATTGCCCAAACTGCAGCTCCTGCTCCTCACACTGTGATGATGCCCTGGTTTCTAACACTGCTTCCAACGTGACTACTAGACAGAAGGAGCACATGTATACCTATCTGCTATATACACTGAGTGGCCAGATTATTATGACCACCCCATCAGTACTTCGTTGGGCCGCCTCGTGACTCCACGATATGTTGAAAGGTGATGCGAGGAATCTGACACTGCACTGTTGCCCTTCTGTTGTCTTGTACCAGTCTTGCCACTCTCCGTTCTGCCCTAACATTGACTAGTCGCTGACGGCCACAATTCGCACGTTCAGACCCAGATTTTCGGCTGACAGTCCAGTCTTTAAACACTTTAAAAAAAGCTGCTCTTGAACATTTAACGAATTCTGCTGTTTTGCTGATACTCGCTCCATGGCTCCGAGCGCCAACAATCATCCCACGTTCAAAGGCTGTTAAATCGCGTTGTTTACCCGTATCTTCAGAAAAAAATCACTTCTACTGTCGTGGTAAACAACCTGCTTCCCTATTTATAATGGTCTGGCCCTCTAGCAACTTCAGCGTGAAATTATAGCTAATTTACCTACAAACGTCAGGTGGTCATAATAATCTGGCCACTCAGTGTATATGTACAGTGATGGAATGTAAATGCATCCCAAGATACTGTGTTGATAACCGGACGTGATTGCACTTTGTACTTTTTGTACTTCTGTATTTTTGTATTGAAAAACCATAATAAAATCTTATTATTTAAAAAAAAAAAAGAAACCTTGTATTTAGCATCAGAAAACAAACCAGTAATTGACTGTATTCATTAGAAAATATTTCTGCACTATATATAATTACTGTGCTTAGAGGGATATATACAGGTGAAACTCGAATAATTAGAATATCGTGCTAAAGTAATTGCAGTAAGTGCTGCAAAAGGGGCCCAAACCAAGTACTGAGTACATATGCATACTTGTACTTTTCAGAGGTCCGATATTGTTCTATGTACAATCCTTGTTTTATTGATTGCATGTAATAATCTACTTTTTTGAGGTTGTGGATTTGGGGTTCTTGGGGTTTTCATGAGCTGTAAGCCATAATCATCACAATTATGACAAATCACGGCTTGAACTATCTTGCTTTGCATGTAATGAGTCTATCTCATATATTAGTTTCACCTTTTAAGTTGCATTAGAAAAATCATACCGCTGTTAAAAAAACGAGCGTCAAACGCAAAGGCAAAAACGCGCCTATTAGGAACGCCCAGGTGTGAACCCAACCTTAGCCCCCACTGCAAGGGTTAAGAAATAGTTTGTCTTAGGGACTCAAATAAAGCAGATCCTCAGTCCCACTGAGCTGCTAGACCGGTCTCGCAGCCTCTTCTCTCCTGGTCTAAAGGTCCATTGACCAGCATTAGGAATGAGGACGCTGAGGGACATTCCAAAGCCGGAGCAGGAGAGAGAGGTGAGCGCTGACGAGGATCGGGTGAGTGCTGACGAGGATCGGGTGAGTATATCTGCTTTAGTTGAGCCGGGTTACATGTTTACATTCCAGGACTTCTTTAAAGCTGATGAAGCCTACTTTCCCGTAATATCTTCCGGTCCCCATGCACATTTGAAGCGCCATAAAACTTTATCTATAATGTACTCTTTCTGAAATCTTTTGTTTGTTGCTGGTAAGACATCGTTGCTGGAAGCTGAGCTGCATTTTGATAGGAATAATTGCACAGCTATTCTATAAACTGACACGTCTGGTCATCAATTCAGCGAAGGAAATCGATTGTGTTTTATTACACAGGAGTCCAGACCTGTCTATGTACTCCGTACAGGCACATTGATAGTACCACCAGATTGGGGAGATTTTCATGAGACGATCATCGTCTGCAGTCATGTGTTTATTGTGCCCCCTGCTGGACTCCTCCTGGGAATACATGGAAACCCAGCCTGAGATCACAATGCTCTACCTAAAGCTGAGCAATACCGCCCCAGGTCATTAAAGTATTCTAGTAAACACCTAATCAAGAAAGTCTCCTATAAGTTTAAACATCTTATCATCAAAAGTCATTTTCAAGATATTTATATCTTCAACTTTCATTAAAATAGTGCCGGGTGATCCTGCCATGTAAGTCCTTGTTGAGACACTTCCTGTTATAGGTAGGCAATGCTCTGTCCTTCAGTAAAGGGTTATGGAGCACTTCAAATGGTTTCAGACCTTAGTATTGAGTTCTGAAGTGGTCTGGGCCAAGCTTCAGTATTTTGCTAGTCTGCCCCTCAAATTGTTCAGGTGTTTTGATAGCCAGATAGCAAGATACTGAAGCTTGGCCCAGCGGGAGATTCCTCCAGCCACACAGTTTAGCGTAGATGGAGGCATCTGTTGCACTTATTCCATCTGACCATAGAAAGTCTGCAGATAATCTATAGGTGTATGGCCAGCTTTAGACTTCCGGCTGGAGAATAGCAGGCCTATCACTTTGCAGCTTGTACATTGAGAAAACCTCTTTCATTCTTTTCAATGGATGCAAGGTGTTCAATGAATGGAGAAGACGTGAATGAGTGTCACAATCTCCCCTCCTCCAATCACAGAACCCCTTGCATCCAATTCAAAAAACGAAAAGTTTTCTCAATGGACAAGCTTCAGAGTGAGCAACTTGCTATCATCGGTGTACTCCAGCAAGAAGTGTAAGACCCCTTTCACGTGGGCTGGAGGGGAACCGTGCACCACTGTGACATCTGTGTCTATTCAGTTTTTTTCCTTCCATCTTGCACTGAAGGAAGAAATGAAATGACCGGACCCCATGTCTGTCTATGGGGAATTGGATGTAGGCATGGCTGCAAAGACGGCTTTCCAGCCAACCACCATGGAGCCGGCTTCCCCTAAGTGATGGAGAATCTCTATAGCCGGGACACATTTTTAGCAAAGGAGGTACAGATGTTTTTATTGCTAACTGTGCTTTCTCTTCCCGGTGACCTCTGCATCCACTTCCCTCCATATCTTGTAAATGTGTCACAGGGACAGGAAGTGAGGAAAAAATCTCCCAACTGGAGTTACAGACAGAAGAAAAAAACAGAAATATTAAAGTGTGTCTGAAGCCAAAATATTTTTTCATAGGAAATGGTTAAACCACCCCGCTGTGGCATCTGTAGACACAACAGGAAGTGAAGGACACGGCCGGCCTGTGATACTTTGTTTACAGTGAAGGCAATCCCTGCTTAGCCCATTGTCACCAGAAGTGCCCCCCATTGGAAAACGTTCCCTTCCTGCCCTGTTTTGGATTTTTCTTTTGATTCAATACATTTTTAAATAAAGATTTTATCAAATTACAGTAAAATAACGTATGGCACCTACGCCCGCACTGCGCGAGGAATAACTGCGCGTTTTAATCTACGGGCGAAAATTAAGACGATATACTTACCTGATCCTCGTTCCTGCGGCAGTGACCGCTTACCTCTCTCCTCCTCTGCTCCCCCGGCATCTTTACATCTAATAGACCTGTATTAGAAGTGATGGCGTCAGGGGGTTCTTAGAACACCAGATGGGACTGAGGATCAGGTGAGCATATTTTCTTTATTTTAGACAAGCAGTTAACCCTTGCAGTGCGGGGGTAGTCCCACTGCAATGCTTCATTTTTTGGCTTTGTAGAGTTCTTCTTTAACCCTTCTACACTGTCCAAAACAACAACAAAAGTTTGGTCTGTTAGACTTTCTGCAGTTGCGTTGAGTGTCCAGCAGGTGGTGCCCTGTGTCAGCGCAGGCAGAGACGGAAGAAGCTCGGTGAAGCCTCCTCTTCCCCTCGATTCTCCCGGGGTGGGGAGGGAGTCTGTCCTGCTCCATTGATCGGGGGCTGTCAGGCTGGACTCGGGGCACTGCAGCAGGGCAGGGCCTGCTCCGGGCCGCACCCTTCCGCCACCGTTCGTGCTGCGATCCGCTGCCACAGCGGACACCGGTCACCCTCGCTTACTTCGCCTCCGCTGGCCCCTAAAACAGCCATATTTGCATGCAACCCTGACCCACCAGCAAGGTATGTTGCCCTTATGTGCATGCCCTGACAGCTTCTAAGAGGTGACAGGGTGTCCCGGTCTGCAGGGAGTTCTGATGGATCCGGGGCGAGTTCTGGGTTTTGATTGACAGGCCGAGGTCGCACAACTTGCAACTCATATAAGCGCTGTGATTGGTGGGCTGCGGGATGTGACGTCACGGGGTGACAGCTCAGGCGGAGGGAACGAACAGTTCACGCTCTTCCGTCTCCAATGTGTAAACAGCACAGCAGCACTGGCCAAAGGGGAGGTCACCATGGCTACGGGGTGGGAGGAAAATACCATGACTGGGGCATCTAGAAGGGGGGAATCTACCACTGAAATCCCTAATGCAGGGGTGGGCAACTTCGGCCCTCCAGCTGTTGTGGCACTACAAGTCCCATGAGACATTGCAAGATTGACAGTTACAGGCATGATTACCAGAGGCAGAAGTATGTTGGGATTTGTAGTTACAGCACAGCTGCCCACCCCTGACCTTATGTCTATGGGCAGCTTGAACGGAACCATTTATAGGTCTCTGCATTATGGAATAAACTATTAACTCTTTATTCTCCCCTAAATATCACGTACCTTAACAGAGAATAAACTCCATATCATTGGATTTAACATTTAAAGCTTTGTTTTGCCAAGGGCTGGAACACCTATCAGGGTTTTTATTCACTGTGTCCCCGCTGGGGGAAAAACTAGGGCAATTTCCTGTCTCACTGACAACCTCACCAGGACAGGAAGTGAGGGGAGCATTCTCCAAAAGGGGCACAATAATTAGAAACACTTTTTTGCTTCATTCATAAGGGCTGTTAGGTTTCATTCAGGCCGGTGTGCATGCCCATACTACATGCACGCCCTTAAAATGACCCGATCCCGGGAGGGACAGGTGCTGTGTGTAATTGCACGCATCAGAAGATGCGGTCACACGCACACCCAAACCCGCACATCAGTGTGGGTCCGCATGCCCGCACTTGGGTGCAAGACTGTCTGCATGCAAGTGAGTGCATCGGCAGGTTCGGATGTGCGTGCGAGCGCATGTAATGTAATCCAGCTGCGTCCTCCCATAGGGAAGAACAGGCTGCTGTGCGTGATTACAAGCACCACCTGTCCCTTCCGTGATTGCGTCATTTTACGGGACTGTATGCTGTACAGGCGTACACGCATGTCCGAATGAGCCCTTAGGGCCAAAATGTGGAGAGAATCTGCTAATTCCTGTGACTGAGACGTATGCAGACAGCTGCAGCCGCTCGGGCTGTACAAAGCAGATACAGGCTGACGGGACCCGCGGTTGCTCTCATACTTGCGGTTAAGGACAGATATCCGAACCTGGACGCAGACAGATTGCATCATCTGTCCCAAGCCACAGGTAACCGTGCAAATAGTTGGGTGGCGGCAGTGCGTGCACAGGATTGTTTTTTTAAACTTTATTGCCAGTGTGCATTTAAAGGTCTCCGCAAGGTGGCGTGTTGTGTGCTGCGGCGATGTCAGGTGCCATTGAGTGCACAGCGGAAGAATGCAGCATATCCACACATCACACTTGCCTTGTGGCGTGAATGGGGCGCTTAGCAAACAATTGTTTTACGCATGCCCTGGCGGAAAAACGTCAATGGCCGCTGCCGGTGTGAACGAGCCCGTGAGCAGAGAGAGTGACACTTCTCTGTATTGCCTGTGATTCCAGCGATTCAATAAACAATCATAGATCGCATTGTCTAAAATTCATCTTTCATTGTAAATAATTTGTCCAACACAACAAGGAAAGGCATCACCTGTCCCATTCTGGGAGATTTCCTGCTAGGATCAGCCGTTCCTTTTTTGATGGAAACGATCGTATGCAAGAAAAATACAAATCTTTAAAAATTAGGGATGCACCAATACCGATATTTTGGTATCGAGTACCTATATATTTTTTCGGTACTCGCCGATACCGAAAACCCGAAGTCCCATTCAGGAAGCCAGGCGGTGTGTAATGACTCGCCACCTGGCTTCCTGATTAGCCGGGAAGCTGCCCCCATGCTTCTCGTCACGAGAAGCATGGGGATGGCTTTCTGGCCAATCAGGAAGCCGGGTGCTGTGTAATGACACGGCGCCCGGCTTCCTGATTGGCTCATGAGGTGGCGAGGGAGCATGAAGCCGGCTTACCGGCCAATCAAGAAGCCGGGAGCGCGTCATTACACAGCGCCCGGCCTCATGATTGGTCCAGCTTCCCGACTAATCAGGAAGCCGGGCAGCGCATCATTACACAGTGCCCGGGCCTCCTGATTTGGCCAGCTTCCCGACTAATCAGGAAGCCGGGTCGCACGTCATTACACGCTGCCCGGCTTCCTGATTGGTCAGGAAGCTGGCTCCATGCTCCCTCGTCAGAAGTGATAAGGGAGCATGGAGCCCGGCTTCCCGGCCAATCAGGAAGCCGGGCAGCACGTCATTACGTGTGATGACGCGCTGCCCGGCCTCCTGATACCGGAAATATTGGGCTAGATATCGGAGCATTTGGGCGAGTACGAGTACTCGCCCAAATACTCAACATCGATACCGATACTAGTATTGGTATCGGTGCATCCCTATTGAAAATGATCATTCTATGGAAGGATTGTGTCGTTTGGTGTGCGATCAGCAGAAGAGGGAACTCTACTACATAGATTGCACTGAACTGCTGGACTTCCTTAGAAATATATAAACCTAGAGGGGTTATGTACCACCCAAAATGTCCCCAAATTCTTCTTACAAAGGAGTAGGATCAGCAGATGAACGATTAACCTGTTTACAATTAGTATTAGTATGCAAACATTCTTCAGCACAGTGACTGCTCCATAAAACTCCAATGCAAATCCATTTCCAAGGTGCTGATTTGACTGCATTTGCATGGCCTTTGTTTTGTGTTTGCATTTGGGCACACTTGCCATGGACGCAGTCGGCACTGGGAGCCCAAGTGCTCATTCTGTGGAATCTAACTTCCCTAAACACACCTGAATAGAACACACCACGGCAGTCAGATGTATTATAGAGCCAAGAATGGTATTTAAAGTGACACAAGCCAAGTGCAGTGCAAACCGGCAAGTTGCCAGGATGCACATGTTTTACACTGTTGCATAGAGGCAGGGGCTACCTCAAGATATTAGCTGCGCTCCCAATGTGTTCGCACCTTGCGGCCAATTTATAAATCTTCCAAATGTCGTTTATTACGGCACTACGCCCACTAAACGGCACTAAGGAGCATATGAATTTCTTATACTTCTCAGCGCCATCTAGTGGCAGCAGTACAGTGCGAACAGCATTTACAAAGCTATATGCTGGGTAGATGATTTATAAATCAGCCCATTTGTATCAGACGTGTGGGGCTGCTCTGCTTTTGGAGTGACTATGGCATGCAAAAGTCAAGTGAGTCACCGAAGGCCCCATATCCTCCCTCGATGGCAATGCAGGCAGTCATGAGCCTTAGCTCTAATCTAGCTGTGAATATTTATGTACAGGCAGTCCCTGAGTTACTTACATCCGACTCCTACTTACAAACGGAGGCTATTACTGTACAGCAGGGGTTGTTGTACTGCTACCGCGCTCTTGCTGATGAGGAGTGCCCGCCTTTTTGGGTCTGGTTCGTAGTGCTGTGCGTACATTGCAGGAAGTTGGCTCTTGTTAGACGTGCAGACGAGGGGTGCCCGCTTCTTCTTCCGGGTCACTGTGAGGTTTTGCTGTCTGTTTCCTCATTAGAAAGATTTAATCTCACTTCCTGTCCTTGAGACAACAGCAAGTGAAAGGAAATCTACCTCTAGGAAGGGAAATTCACTTTATCACCAATCCTTGTTTCCACGACAACTCAAAATGTTCAAAATCCAATTGTCACAGGGACAGAATGTGAGGTGAAATCTTCTGAACAGGGGCACAGACAGCAAAACGGACTTTACAGGGAGTTAACCCTTCCCTATGCTATCCAAAACAAGAAAAAATTTACCTGTTCCAACTTGCATACAAATTAAATGTAAGAACAGGCCTGCAGTCCCTATCTTGTTCGTAACCCGGGGACTGCCTGTATATATATAGTGCAATATAAATGGGTAAGCCGGATTA